GTTGCAAGTATAATACAAAAACCTTTTATCTCTGCAACCATATCATCCTTGAATACTTTAGTGTTTTTCCTGCAAACAATGACTTCCTCCTAACAATGACAACAAAATCATTAAAGGCAGGAAATTAATATTTGACACATCAATACCATCATCAAACCCCATTCAAGTTTCACCAATTGTCATTCACAAATAATGCCCTTTATAGCTTTTGGTCCTTTTATTGAATGCTGTTTGGCTAAGCCAGTAATTTGAATTTTTTCCTTTAAATCAATATATATATATATATATAAAATAAACTACCAAGTTTAATTAAGACAATTCCCCTGGGGCAGAGTGGGCACAAGTTTATAATCCTGCAATGTGAGATTGAGGCAGGAGGATCTTGAGTTCCTCAAGATCAGCCTGGGCTACTTAGTAAGGCCCTGCCTTAAAAAATCAAAAACAAAAACTACCAAACAAAAATGACAATGTTAATTTGCCTATAATTTATGATATCTTATATTGCCAATTCACTTATCTTCCTCAGCATTTGTTTCAAATTACAACATCTATTTCAGTTTTGTTTGTTTGTTTTTTTGTTTTTGCCAAAATCAGAAAAGCCAAAGTCATCATAGTAGGTCACAAATTTGATTTGGCTTCCTCTTCCTCCCTGCTCCCTTAGTCTCTGCAATTCCTGAATCAGTCCAGGTCACTCCTGCCTTAGGGCTCTGGCCCTCTACCCTAATGGTCCCTCTTACTGGCATGCTCTCTCCTCAGATGTCCCCAGGCTCATTCCTTGACTTTTCCAGGTTTTTGTTCAGAAGTCACCTTCTCAATGAAGCCTACCGTGAAGAGCCTGTTCATCCCATTTTCCACTCTATTTCCTGCTCTTAACATCTCCTAATATACCACACTTCTAATACTACTTATGTTTATTTTTCACTGTCTTTCTCTTTAAAAAAAAATATTTTGCTTATTTTGTAAAAAATATTTGTTGAATGGAGATAGTAGCAGTTTGATCACCAAACTGAATTAATGATGCCACCTAGTGTTCATGGAGGGACATACGGTTATCAATCCTGAAATGTGCATTAGCCATGAGATACATATTTGTGGTTTAATCAATTCTCAGCTACTTGTTTTTGTTTTTTTTTTTTATTGTTCTGGGTGGTTCTGTAAGGATGAAAATGTTTTCAGTGATTAAGCCATCATGGGACATACTGAATTCTCTAACAGCAACCTCTTTTCTGACTTGGCTGTTCCTTCCTATAATTATTACTGTCTTTTCACCTCCACACTTCCCCTCTAAGCACACCAAAACAACAACCAACCAAACCCAAACTCCTCAATATGGTAGTAGTTTTTCTGTTTTGGTAACTGAGGTACACTTTTCTCTAGACTATCAAAATACACATGCTGAGTTCCCACCAGAACTCAGGTTGAAATTCAATCCCCATTGTGAAGTATTATAAGAGTGGAAATGTATTCAACTATGGTGTGTGGAGATGGGACTTTTGGCTGCTTAAATGAGGCCATAACAGTGAGGCCCTAATTCAGTGGGGCTATGGCTTGGAAGGACAGGAAGAAAGACCTGAGCCAGGATGTCCTGTTTCACCATGAGCCCTGGACAGTGTTGAGACCGTGGAAAGTTGAAGGACCTTGCCAGACAAGGTTGCCCACTCTTGAACTTCCTAGCCTTCAGAAGCATGAGCCAAATAAACCTTTCTAATTTACAAATTACTGTCTGTGGCACTGAGCTGCAGCAATACAAAATGGACTAAAACAGCTTATTTCTTGAATTTTAAATTTTGGTGCTTGGCCACAAAAGCCTCTAAATCAGAGATAAAACATTAGCGAGGCTAATGGTAATATTTAAAATAGTATCAGAATCTCTGAGATAATAAGCATGATCTTCTGATTTAGAAAATATTGTTTTCTTTAAATGTGATAAAGAAGGAAACATGAAGAAAGCGGAAGGTGCTGTGAAAACATTAAAATATCTATTTTTTTTGACAGTACTGGGGTTTGAACTGAGGCTTTATGCTTGCTAAGCAAACATTCTACCACTTGAGCCACGTCCCTCACACCTTTTGATAGGGTCTCATGCTTTTGCCTGGGACTGGCCATGGATGGCAATTCTCCCTCCTCAGTCTCCTGAGTAGCTGGGATTACAGGGAGGCACCACGACATCTGGCACTGAACATTTAAATATTTTAATATTTAGCAGTATATAATGAAAAGGGTAATTAGCTGGGTTTTTGTGGAATGCTTATTCATCTAGACACTATTCTAAAGCTCATTAATCATCTTAACAACCCTCTAATATAGATTTTCTAAAATTGAGCCTTATTTCTCAGATGACAGAATAAAGACACAAAGAAGTTAAGTAAGTTGACTAACATCACAGAGCTAGAAAATGGTAATGCCAGGATTCAAAGTCAAACAGGCTGGCTCCATACTCATACTCTCATCTATCTACCCCAGAACTGGAAACCATAGTGCTGTGTCACAGTTTTGGCCTGATCAGAGAAATTAATTTATTAATGTCCTCTTCTTCCAAAAAGGAATCAGGCTATGTAAAAGAAACAAGAGTATGTACAGTTATCCTAGAACTAAGGTCTTATTCTTTTTACAGTCAAGAAAATAGAAGCTATAGAAACTTGCCTTGCAGAGGTACAAGGAAGGACTGGTTGTTCTTCTTGTTCTTCCTCTATTTTGCAACCACTCCTCAGAATGTTTTATTCTACCTCCCAATTGCCCAGTGTCCCAGACTCTGTCATGTGTTCTAATGTCTCAAAATAATTTGAGTTCCCAAATTCTCAACTAATATACCCATTTCATGAATTTGGTTTATCTTAGCTAGATGTTGAAAAGAAAATAATTGAATTATCTGTTAAGTAAGTCCCATTAAGGAGTGACATTCAGAAGCATTTACATTATATATTGTACTTCTAAAAGAAAAATGAATTTCCCAGAAGTTCAGACTGATGGAGTCTTTCAGAGGATATTTGTAAGTAGGTGATTCCCAGGCTTTCTAGAAGATTCTAGAAATGGTGCCCCTTTCACCATCTTCAGCTAGAATCTAGATTCCTCTTCTACATATTTACATGACTTTTTTTTTGGTTTTGTTTTTAAAATGTGGTGTTAGGAAACCCAAGGGCTTGCATATGCCAGGCAAACATTCTACCACTGAGCTACACCCCTAGCCCTGACTTTTGAAATTTTCTAAAATACAAATTCATTTGGGAAAGAGAAATGGTCATTTTCTACCTTATCTTGGAAATAGTTTTTCTAACATGTGGCTTAAGGATGACTTGCTTCAGACACACATGAAGTGATTCCTAGCCCCACTTCTGACCTACTATAGCAGAATTTTCTACCAGGCCGCAGGAATCTATATTCTAACAACAATCTATATTCTAACTCCCCAGATGATTTTTGTTTATGCTTAAGTTTGGAAACCACTGACCTAAGGGAATAAATTTTAAAAGTAAAACACCAGCATCATTTGGGTTGTTGGATTCTTTCCTATTACAGACCACAGACTAGAACTTCAAGGAGTATTATGTAAAAACCTAATTATGTGAAGACCAAATATAATCTTAAAAGACTAATAATTAGCAAATCTATTTACAAGATTGCATGTCCTTTTGTTGTGAATTACATGTGTGAAATTTCTCAATGGATTGTAAATGTGAAACATCTCAAAGAATCCTTTGGTGGATGTTGCTTAATCCTGACTTGCCTTTCATAAAATTAACCAGCTGCCCAAAGATTATCCAACCTCTGGTCTAGTAACCCCTGGTCTAGTAACCCCTGAGGCTTTCTCTGAACAAGCCTCATTTCCTGCATAAAAGGAAATGGGTTTAAAATGATCAGAGTGTGGTCAGCTATAGAAAACTTAGGCTGATTAAACTTAAAGTGGTTATCAAAGGAGACAGAATTTTGCAGCTTTAGAGATGTTTTAAAATAGGAGAGTCGTATTTTTGGAAGAGCAGAGTATACATAATTGTGATCTAAAGCTACAGGAGCCAAATAGAAGGTGCTTTAAGATTATTTCTAGCTTTATAATATGACTAAACCACCTTTTTACTTGATTGAAAATTAACCTGTTTTTGCCTTTTCATTATGTATCATCATTATTAATATTATTGCTAAGTACTGAGTTTGAACTCAGGACCTCACACTTGCTAGGAAGGTGCTCTACCATTAGAGCCATGTCCTCCTACCCTTTTTTGCTTTAGTTATTTTTCCAGATAGGGGCTTGAGTTTTTGTCTGGGGCTGGCCTCAGACCATGATCCTCCTACCTATGCCTCCACAGAACTGGGATGACAGGCGCATGCCACTATATCCAGCTTACTGGTTGAGATGGAGATTTTTTTTTTTTTCCAGAACTGGGGTTTGAACTCAGGGCCTCATGCTTGCTAGACGGGTGCTACAGCTTCAGCTACTCCACCAGCCCTTTTTTGTGAGACAGGGTCTCTTGATCCTCCTGATCTCTGCCTCCTGAGTAGCTAGGATTACAGGCGTGAGTCACCAGCACCCTGCTAAAGTGGTCTTTTTTATTTTTGGTGGTATTGGTGTTTGAACTCACAGCCTTGAACTTGCTAGGCAGGCACCCTTCCTACTTGAGCCACTCTGCCAGTTCGAAGTGGGGATTTTGATAAGTTTTTGCCCAGGCTGGCCTTGAACAGAGACACTCCTGAGCTCTGCCTTCAGAGTAGCTGAGATTATATATGTGAGACACCATACCCTGCTTGTTTTTATTTATTTATTTTTACCAATTAAGCCTGGCAAGACTTCCTTGACCCTCTCTGATAATGTAATAGCCTCTTGAGAATACTCTAGATACACAATATTTAACTTGATGATAACATCACACCTAGAGAATTCAGCTGTTAAAGAGAATTTTCACTGGAATATTTGGTTTGGCCAAGTTAACTGGGTAACTCTGTTATCAGTTGCATTATCTTTCCTCGCTTAAAATCAAAATCACAGTTCAACCAAGAAGATCACTTACCTGGAAAGTCCTTTTGTACAGCCAAGTTGCATGGCGCTTGTGCTGCAAGTAGAAAAGAGTTATCAAGGATACAGAATCGGTAACACAACTGGGAACCCTTATCACAATGTAAGAATAGAGTCCAAATTACCTTCCTCAAAAAAACTAAAGATCTCTTCAGAAGACTGACTAGTTGATAAAGAATCTGAGAGAGCTTTTATGCAGATTGTAACTCGAAAGGTAATTCGGTGAAACTGTAATACCAGTCTACCTGATAAAACTGTTCAAACATAATATTCTTTCCTTTAAGAGATCGTGGGAAAATACAGCCCACGACCATGTTTGGATTGGTCCACACTGTGGCTAGAACTGGTCCAATATGTCCGTGGAACCAGGCAGCACGTAACCTTAACTCAGCATCCCACTCTTTAAATGGAAATAGAATGGACTGGTGAGATTTTTGGAAAACACTAGTTCTTTTGCGATTTTCTCTATATACAGATGAAAGCTTGTTATTATTTCTACAGAGAAGTAAACGAGGGAGTGCGAGGCTTGGGAAGATGGATGAGGAGGCGCAGGAGGAAGGACAGGGCTCTAGCCCCGTTGGGTCAACCCCCCAACTTCCCTGATCTTCACTTTACTGTCAGCTGAGACGCTTTATTTAAAAGCCTCTTCCAAAACTTTGTGATCAAATAGAAAAACTCCTCACTTGCTCATATAACTAACCAGTGTGTCCTGATTTTTAAAAGACGTCTTCTCTTGGGATGTAAAAGAAGCATGGAAATCCCAACCTCAGCATGTCAAGCAACAAAGTTACTGGCTTTTAACTGGGGTTCCACAAAAATAGTCTTGTGTCTGATTACTCTCTACAAATGTACCCCAGTTAATGACCACCCTCGGGGCTTCCCAGACCTGGGAGTTAGGAGAGTGAAGACCTAAGGCTTCGGACAGCGTTGGGAAGGTTATAATTTGAGGAACCTAAGGCGCCAGCAGTGGGGGTTTTCCTAAGGTTGCTGACGAAATACGTAGCAGGAGAAGTAAAATTGCCCTAAATTCCCCAGTGTGGTTCTCTAGGTTCTCCTTGGTTACCCGCGCCGGGAAGCTACGATGGAGACGTCCCCTACGACTTACACCCAAACGCGCGCGCGCAAGGAGATAGCGTCGTGGAAGGAACCTCCCCGTCAGTCTCGCAGCACTGATGGGCGTCGCGACCAGCCAATAGGCGCGCTGGGAGGCGGGGCAAAGCGGCCGAGGGGCGGGATTTCCCGCGCGGCCGCTCGGCGCCTGGCGAGGGCGGCGCGGGTGGCGTCGGTGGTAGCGCCTGCGAGAGGGCGGGCCAGGGTCAGCTGCTGCAGGCGGGCCGGCGCTCTGAACTGTGGGCGGCTGCCGCGTCTCCTGCCGCCGCCCTCTCTTTGCCACGATGCCGGGGATCGACAAGCTGCCCATTGAAGAGACGCTGGAGGACAGCCCGCAGGTGAAGCGCCGGGCGGCGGTGGGAGACGAGGGGGAGCCGGGGGACCGAGCACAGGCCTGGGTGGGGTGGGGAGGGGGTCCTCGCCGTTGTCGCAGGTGTCCACCCCGGCTCAGGTGGGCGCCGCCTCCACCCGCCACCCAGGTGCCTCCGCCCGCCGCGGCCGCGCCCAGGGCAGCGGAGGCCGGGCTCGAGGCTCGCGCGCGCCCGCGCGGTAGGGCCGAGGCCCACGGGCGGAGCCGCGGCCGCCGCCACCGTCGTCGTCTCTCATGGGGCCTGGCGCTCGCGTACGCGCCGGTCTGCATTTTATTTGACTGAAGGTTCCGTTTTTATCGCGGTGTTGTGAGCCGATGATTTTCGGAGAAAATCCAGGAGGCGCGAACACCTGGTGGTCTTGTTTAATGGTTTTGGAGGCTCGGCGCTTTAGGGAAGGAAATGGCTGGTTTTCTTCGGGAGGTGCTGGAGGGCTGCTCCAGGAAAGCCATCCCGCCGCTGTCACTCGAGCAGTGCATGGCGTGTGATGGACGGCTGCGGACCTGGCCCCAATAAACTCATCAAAATAAAAGCCCTGTGTCGTGTGCGTGGGGGACGATGCTGGTGTGGGTGCTCTAGCTTAAGACAGTTCTGCTATCTTTTTATTACTCAAGAATGAGATGAGCTGTATTAAAAAGTGTTGGGGTTGAGAGGTGGGGGAAGCTCTAACTTAAGCGATTTGGAGTGATGTTGCTGGTTGGATCCCACCCAGGTTGAAAATTTTCTGAAATATTGCTTACTTCTAAATACGACTGCACATATTTTATGTGTCTTTGTAGTTTAATTTGGCTCCCGAATAAAGGAAAGGAGGAAAGGGCTACATCCTTTTTTCCTGGATGACACTTCTGCCATGGATTGATAGTGTGCCAATTTTAATTGCCAAGTTGAAATCGGGCTCTGATTGTAGAACTGATTTGTTCTTTTTCAGTGTTATCTGCACAGGCCAGTTGCTTGCTGGTAATGTATTCTTACCCGTCTACGCTGACAAAGAGAAACCCACACTTTGGTTTATCTCATAGCCGTTTCATATTTTTCTTAATGACTTCCTCAGTATAAAGTTGAAAACTATGTTTGTTTCAGATGATGTGCAGCAGTTTTGTGGGTTGTATTGCTTAGGTGCACTTTGCCATCTTACTTTTTTTATTATGTAAGACTCAACAAGGTGCCTTCTCTTACTTGGCCTGTTTTTTATAACCCATAAAGACCATAAACAGCTCAGAATGGGCTTGGGTGGTGCCCTAGCTATGACTTTTAAGGCAGGGATAACCTTGTACTTGTTACAGTTCACAACTTGAGAATTAGGTGCTTTTTTTTTTTTTTTTTGACAAGCATGCCTCATATAGTAATTTTTTAAAATTAAAATATATTCGTTGTATAGGAGGGATTCCATTCTTAATAGACTTACATTGTACATTGGTTAGATCATCCCCACCATCTCTCCCTTGACCCCTGCCCTACTTAAAGCAATTGCAAGAAGTTTCATCATTCTATTTCCAGTATGTATCTGAAGCCAATCGACCATATTCCCTCACCCTCATCTCCTTCATTCCGCCTCCCACAAGTATCCCCCGCTCTGTACCTACTTTACAGTCTTGTATCTTGTTATTAATTGTGAAGCCAACTTTCAAAGGAGTTTCTCGATGTATCCCCTCTGTGAGTATACTTTACTGTGGTCAGTTCAACCCCTTCCAGTACTCTCCCTTCTCCCCTCCATCCCCCCATTATTCAACAGCTTTCAATACATATTGTTGTATACTCTGCCTGCACAGATATTACATATTTTGATATTGTTGATGCTCTGTCATTCTCTTTTCTTCTTCCTCCTCCCGAGTTCCATAGAATAGTTCCAGTATTACAAACGTTCTACATATAAGTTTGTATCATATGATAATTTTTAATGATGTAGCCACACTGATATCTTTTGATCTATTTTTCTTTTTTGGTGGGACTGGGGTTTGAACTCAGGGCTTCATGCTTCCACTGATATCTTTTGAGTTTCTGAACTTGAACTAGGTAATATTTATTTGTATTTATTTGGTAAATATAGTTACCACAACTGGAATTTACATGAAGGTAGAACCTGTGGGCAGGATGGAAAGCTCTGAATTTAGGATTGAGGGGATGACTTTCAGTATTCACTGTCACTTTGTAGCTTTTGCTTTAAGGCAAGCCACTCAACTTCTCTGAACCTTAGTTATTGTAGATAGTGTATGTTTATTTAAAATTTTTGACCCTGATTATAAAAATAATAATTGTTTCAGAAAAATTGGAAGGTGCAGAAATGAGTATATACACAGCAACAGCAAATCCTTTTAACAGTTTGTTTTCTTTAGTCTTTTTTCTTAAGTATATTTTAATGTAGTTGAGGTTATAGTGTACATAACAGTTTTTCTTGCTTTTAACATTAAGACTTAAGTATTTTCATGTTATTACATTTTGAACAAAAAATGTGAAGATTGCATGTTTCCTTAGCTGACTTAATAGACTTTTTGCCCTGTTTTGAGAGAAAGTCTTGCTGTGTTGCCCAGGCTAGCTGGAGAGAGCCTCCTGCCTCAGACTCCTGAGTTGTTGGGACTACAGGTGATGGCACTGCACCTAGCTCCCATTGTTGGACATTTAGAGTTTTTCCAAAGTTTTGCTTTTATAAATAGGGCTGAATTAATGCTTGGGCATAAATTTTTGTTCTTAGTTATAGAGTCCAAGAAGTAGAGTAACAGAATGTGAACGCAGTTAAAACTCCTAATAGACATTTTTATTAGATCATTTGATTTTAATCAAAAGTTGCCTGTTGGGAGCTGGAGCTGTAGCTCAGTGACAGAGCACTTGTGTAGCATGCTCAAGGGTCTGGGTTTAATCCCCAGCACAGAAAAAACAAAACAAACCTTCCCTCCCCCAAAATTAAACCTCAAACCAACCAACCAAACAAACAGAATATAAGCTTAAAAACAAAAAGTTGCCTGTTGGGCTGGGGATATAGCTGAGTTGTAGAATATTTGCATGGTGGCCAAGTGTAGCCTTTCTGTTCAGCCAACAAATAAGTTTGAGGGAAAAATGTCAGTCTTGATAGTCTGGAAACTTTCCTTTTCTACCTGGTGGAAAAGCCATCAAAACTTGATGAGCAAGTATCCATGCCTTCAAAGAAAATCCTAGGGACTAAAGTGGGACAGTTCTGAGAAGCATTGATATTGATGACTCCGCAGTTGGAAAATGATTTGTAAGAGTTAAACTCTGAGTGTGAAGAAATCTTAGGAACATATTAAATTTGATGCTACTTGTATTTTTCTTTCTGTTTATGTGAGACACAATCTGATACAATTAATACTATCTGAAGGTCTGTTTCCATAAAGACAAAATATTGAGACATAAGAAAACCTTAAATCGTAACTTGTCACTGTTTTTTTTTTTTTTTTTTGTGGTACTGGGGTTCGAACGCCAGGCCTACACCTTGAGCCACTCTAGCAGCCCATTTTTGTGATGGGTTTTTTTGAGATAGGGTCTTGTGAACTATTTCCCCGGGCTGGCTTCAAATCACAATCCTCCTGATCTCTGCCTCCTGAGTATCTAGGATTACAGGTACGAGCCACTGGCATCTGGCTGTGTTGTGCAATGGATTCCATCATAGATTCAATGAAATGATATCATATTGATTCTATTTTTGTTAGCTGCTAACTTTAAACAAATAGTGATATGTAGTCTTGAACTTAATAATAGCTTTAAGTGGGGAATCTGGACTGTGGTTATAGCTCAGTGGTAGAGCACTTGCCTAGTATGTACAAGACCATGGGTTCAAACCTCCTTACCACAAAAAAAAAAAAAAAAAAACCCAAGAAAATAAGGAACCTATTTCAGCCCTGTTTTGAGATAAGAACTTTTAAGTTTATACTACACTACACTTCAATTTTTTTGGTGGTCCTGGACTTTGAACTCAGGGGCCTCTTGTTTGCCAGGCAGGCACTCTACCACTTGATTTATGCCTCCAGCCCACACTACATATTTCTAAATAAATGTGGAGTTCCTTAAATTGACATTGCTTATTTTTGGAGAAAAAATAAAACCAAGTGGCAAATTTTTCTTTCTTTTTTTGTCGTACTAGGGTTTGAAACTCAGGACCTGGAGCTTGCTAGGCAGGTACTCTATCACTTGAGCCACTCCCCCAGCCCTTTTTGCTTTAGGTATTTTTCTGAACAGTCTCTCCCTGTTCATGCACAGGCCTGGACCATGATCCTCCTAGTCATGCTTTCCTAGCTGGGATGACAGGCACATGGCACCATGCTTTTTGTTGAGATAGGGTCTCACTAACTTTTTGCCCAGGCTGGCCTTTAACTAGAATCCTCCAGATCTCTGCCTTCCCAGTAGCTAGGATTATATGTATGAGCCACCAGTTTTTTGCTCCCTCTCCCCATACTGTGGGTGAACTCTGGGCCTTATACTTGCTAGCAGGTGCTTTACCACTTGAGGCACTCCGCCAGCCCCAGACTGCTTTTTTTTTTTTTTTTTTTAACATTTTAAAATAACACTCTGGGGAACGGGAGTGGAGCACTAGAGTGAAAAAAGATTCTGTGGTGGTGCATATGCCTTTTAGTCTTAGCTACTCTAGAGGCTGAGGCAGGATAATCATTTGAGTCTAGGAAATGGGGATCAAGCCTCACCAACATAGAACCCCATCTCAGATATATATGTATGCATATATATGTATGTCCAGATGTCCAAAATGTCCAGTCCAAATCTCAGAGGCCTGGGAAAGCAGAGGACTGAGAATATGGACGTCGTATATTGGCATAATGATTTTGTGTCTCCTCCCACTCTATGCCTTTCCTCTGCTGAACATAGGATGTGAGGGAATAAAAATATAAGGTCATCCTTTAGGTTTTAATCTTCAATTTTTCAGTACTCGTTGGTATTTTAATTCTTCCCCAACCTTTAGGATATAAAATATCCTAAAGTGTTCCTTGTCTTTGATTAGCTGAGTTTTTCTTTTTGATCATTTCTATTAACATTCTTATAGTTTACTTACTGACAAATTTTCCCCCTTAAAAATCAGTTTCATATGCTCATTGTAAAAAGAATGGTAAACAATGTAGAAATAGAAGAAGAAGGAGGAACCCAAATTCTGCACTTAGAAAAACCTAGTTAGCATTTTATAGAGTGATGAGTTGCATGCTGGGGAGGTGTACTGGGGCATTATTTTAGATTACGATGGAGGGATTTGGTACTACTAGAAAAGATCATGGAAGAAGAGAAGTAACCATATTAATTTATCCTGAAATGAAACATTTAAATAGTTATACATATTATGAGTACTGTTAGTTTTTCCCCCCCAGTGCTGGGGATCAAACCCAGGACCTCATGCATGTTAGGCAAGCATAGTGTCACTGAGCTAAGCCTCTAAGTTGATGGTTGCTACTGATTTGTTTTTAATTTAATTGCTGAATTTCTCATTCATAAAAAATTCACCTTTGCTGTTCTAAAGTTTATGTGACATAGTTGGAAAATACCTCTTCTTTAGTGAAGTGAAACTGAGAACAAAAAACCCTGAGTTCTTGGCATTACTATTAAAAGAAAAAATAGATTAAAACTCAGAATTGCTAGAGCTCTATTATGTTAGGATTTTTGCTTCCTTTAGGAAAAAATGTTTTTCCATTTGAGTTTTATATTAACTACCATTAACTTGTTTTATTTTATACAGACAAGGTCTTTACTGGGTGTATTTGAAGAAGATGCCACAGCTATTTCCAACTACATGAACCAGTTGTATCAAGCTATGCATCGGATTTATGATGCACAGGTAAAAAGCTAAGGGCTAATGCAATACCATTTAAACAATCTTTAAGCCCCATGAGGATAAAGATAGTGTCTGTCTGGTTTACTGGTGCCTAGTCCTATCTTGGACTCATACTATATTATTCAAAGTATGAATGAACATTAAGTATATTGTATTATAGTGCTTACATTTCAGTTAGTGTGTTTAGTTTGTAGCACTACAAAAGTGACAAGATTGAAACATCTGACCCTTTCCTCCAAATATAGTAAGGACTTTCTTACTGAAACTTACTGAGAATGATTTGGCTAAAGACCCTACGTTTTCGCTAATCATGCTTTTTTTTCCCCCCCTCTGGTGATATTGAGGCTTGAACTCAGGGCCTCATGCTTGCTAGGCAGGTGCTCTACCACTTGAGCTGCTTCACTAGCTCCCTAATCATGCTTTTAAATTTTAAAGAACATGCTCCCTTTTTAAGTAGAGCATTTGAAAGTGGCCTGCCCCTATTTAGCTAGTAGAAGGTAGTAAAAATTAGTTGTTGCTCTGTAGTACATGAAATTTATGAAATCTTTGACTAGATTTTCTTTTTTTTTTTTTTTCTTTTTTTTTTAGATTTTCTCATAGGATATAGAAAATACAATTTGAAGTTATATTTGTATAACTTACTATATTTTTCTTTTTTGGCAGTACTAGGGTTTGAACTCAGGGCTTTGGGTTTGGTAGGCTTGAGGACACCTCCAGCCCTTTTTTCTGATAGGGTCTTTTTGCCAGGGGTCAGCCTTGGACAGAAGTCCTCCTTCCTGTGTCTCCCATGTAGCTGGGATTGTAGGTGTGTGAACCACCACTCCTGGCTTGTTTGTTGAGATGGGGTTCTGTTACTTTTTGCATAGGTTGGCCTCAAACTGAGATCCTCTGAATCTCTGCCTACAGAGTATCTGGGATTTCAGTCACAAACTACTACACCTGCCTTTGTATAACTTATTTATAAGCTTTAACAGCAACCTGGGTTCTGTGATGTCCTTTCTTTGGGATTAAGTGTACAACTTTCATTTTTTTTCCCTTATTTTCTTTCCTTTCTGGATTCACATTTTCACACTAAAAAAGTTGCTGATTGTTGTTTATTTTTTCGTTGTGATAGGCCTCTCAAGATTTGATTTCTGATCATAAATACTAATAAGTAAAAGAAATATTAGTACTATTCATGACTAAAGAAACTTTGAATTTAAAACAATCTTTCATGTGACTGTGTTGCTGTTTTATGATTATGTCAACCACATTTTGATTGTGTTACTAAATGCTTTTCATAGTCTGGTATCAGAATCTAGAAAGAATTATCAGTTATTCATATAAAATCTCTTAAAGATTTAGCTAAGGTTATGTGTAGTTGTAACTTAAAATATTTAATGCTTTTTTTTTTTTAAATGCTTAGCTTTTATTAACCAAAAGGGTATAACCTGGAATATTGTTGATTTCGTTGACAGTGTCTCTGGGTTTGAATTTTCCTTTGAAATACTTTAATGGTAGTTCTCTTTCCAGTGACTGAAATAAGGTTTTTAAAAAATATGTTGTATTCATTTATGTTAAATGATAGTAAATGAAAATGGTCTAGGTATCTTCAGTTACAACTCTTAATCAGTAATTACTGTGCTAATTTGAATGCTAATTTTTTATTTTAGAATGAACTAAGTGCAGCAACACACCTGACTTCAAAACTTTTAAAAGAATATGAAAAACAGGTATCGTATATCAAAGTTTGAAGAGCATGATTTAGCATATGTAGCAGTATAATATCTGTACAGATAGACTTCCTCATCAAGAATCTTTTTTTTTGTTGTTGTTGTTGTACTGGGGCTTAAACTCAGGGCCTACACCTTGAGCTACTCCAACAGCCCTTTTTTTGTGAAGGATTGTTTTGAGATAAGGTCTCGTAGAACTATTTGCTTGGGCTGGCTTTGAACAATGATCCTCCTGATCTCTGCCTCCTCAGTAGCTGGGATTACAGGTGTGAGCCACTGTCACCCAGCTTCTTTTTCTTTTCTTTTCTTTTTTTTTTTTGAGACCAGGGTCTTTCTTTGTTGGCCCCAAACTTGGGATCCTCCCTCCTCAGCTTCCTGAGTGCTGGGATTACAGACATGTGCCAACATGCCTTTTTTTTTCCTTTTTTTTTGGTACTGGGGTTTGAGTTCAGGGCTTTCCACTTGCTAGGCAGACGCTCTACAACCTGAAGTCCTTAAACTTTCTTGAATTCACAGAACATGCTATTGAAATTTCACTGTAGTACCTATACTGAGATAATTTTAATGATTTAGTGTTTGATACATTAGCTTAGATACAGAGGTTATTTAGTACACTTTTTTTTTTTAACATGGAGCACATGATGAATTTGCATGTCATTCTTGTGCAGGGGCCATGCTAATCTTCTCTGTAGTGTTCCAATTTTAGTATATGTGCTGCCAAAGTGAGCACTAGCTTATCTTTTTTTTAACAAATGAAGAAATTGAGTCTTGCTCAAGGTTACACTGTCAGTTATTGGAAAAACTGGAGCTAAGTGCCAAATCTTTGAACTCCCAGTATGGTGTGCACTTCATATATTATGTTAACTGGTTACTTAACACAGTGCTAACTAATATTTATTAATCATGAAAATTGTTCTATTAAAATGGTATTTTTGGAGTCTATTCAAAATTTTAGAAATTTTCTAAAGTTACTTGAAAATGTAAACCGATGTTGTCATTCATGAAAAATGGATAATATGGAACCTTTTACCTCATCTCTGTTTCCCACTTTGTAGCGTTTTCCATTGGGGGGTGATGATGAAGTTATGAGCTCTACCTTACAACAGTTTTCAAAAGTTATAGACGAGGTAAGTATTTATTTTGCTTTAATAAGCGATGTTATAATTAAGTTACTCGGCTGTTATGGGGAACTTTTATTATTATAATTATGTGAGTAATTTTCCAAGGATTGCTAAAGAAGGACCTTATTTCCATATCATGGTGACTGTCTCTTAAAATAATATCTGATTGACACAGATTGTTTTCCAGGAGTCAACTTCCTCATCCAGGTGTCATTTAGTCTCTTCACTGTCATCTGAAGTACGCAGAGAAAGAAGAGTGATGCAGTGGCTATAGCTAGGGCCTTTGTGGTTTCTCTTTTGCCATTAAACAACATTTTACTGTTTGCTTTTTGTTAATCCTTCCATCTAAAACAGCCCAAATCAACCCTTAATGTCCCAGACCAGTCATCACAGCAAATCATAACAGAAACAAAAAGACCTAGAAGTCATGAAGAAGAAAGGTAGTGAGAGACATGGAGAGTACAAAATTATTTCCTCTACTATTACAGTGAAAACTCTTTCCTCCCTTTTCCTCTTACCCTGGAAAAGTAATAGTTATATAGTATATAACACACACAATTTGCCATGCTGGGGATCAAACCCAGGACCTTACACATGCTAGGCAAGTGCTCTTTAACACTGAGCTATACCCCAGCTCCAGTTTTTCTAATATCTTAATAACTTATTATAGCAAAATGTTATACTAGGAGATCAATATAAAGAAATACAATACTTACAGGAAATGGAATGTTTTTCCTTTTGAAAAAATTCTAGTAAATACATATAACACTTGACATTGTGACATTTAATACATTCACACTGTTGTACAACCATCACAACTGTGTCGTTCCAGAACATTATCATCATCCCAAAAGAAACCATCTGCCCATTAAGCAGTCAGTTTCCTTTCCCATTCTCTCTACTCCCTGGCAACCACTAGTTAATCTGCTATCTGTATGGATTGCCTGCTTTGGGTAGTTCATATAAATTGGCCCATGTAATTTGTGGACTTTTTGTCTTTCTTCTTTCATTTAGCATTTGGATTTATCCATGTTGTAATATGTGTCAACACTTCATTCCTTTTTTGGCTGGATAAAATTTCATTGTATGAATATACTACATTTTGTTTATCTACTTGTTATAGACATTTGGGTTTCCATAATTTGGCTCCTATGAATAATGCTGCTATGACCATTTATGTATAAGTTTATTTTTTTGAACACCAGTTTTCAGTTTTTGGGTATATACCTAGGTGTGGTTTTGGTTATATGGTAACTTTGTTTTAACTTTCTGAGGAATTACCAAACTGTCTTGTCCAGTGCATGCCCATACCAATTTACATTCCCCCTACGGATGTAGACGAGATCTATTTTTTCCATATCTTTGCCAATAATTTTTATTTTCTTTTTTTTATTGTAACAGTCTAAGTAGGTATGAAGTAGTATCTCTTTGTTACTTGATTTGCATTTTTCTGATAGCTAGTAATATTTCAAGTGGTTATTAGACTTTTTTTTATGTTTGGAGAAGTGTTTATTTAGATCCTTTGCCCACTTTTTAAATTGAGTTTTTTGATTTTATTGAGTTGTAAAAGTTCTTTATTCTAGATACAAATTTCTTATTAGATAGGTGATTGGCAAATATTAAATGTTTTCTCCTATTGCATGGGTTTTCATTTTCTTTCTTTTTTTGAGGAGGGGGGGCTATGTAGCCCAGACTGGCCTTGAAATCACAATCGTCTTGCCTTAGCCTCCTGAGTGCTGGCATTATAGACATGGGCCACGCACTTCACTTTCTTGATCATATCCTTTGATGAACAAGTTTCTAATTTTGATGAAGTCCAATTTATATATTCTTCTGTTCCTTGTGCTTTTGATGTTGTATCTAAGAAATTATTGCCAAATCCAGTATTACCTTGTTTTCTTTTAAGGGTTTAAAATGGAAATTTTTTTGGCTGTATACTTTCTACTATATCACATATTTTTTGGTATTTTCTTTATGGTAAAATGTAAGAGAGCCTTTTTATTTCAAACTAGATTCTGTTTAATATATATAACATTGGTTAAATGTCTCTGTGTAGGCATTTATTAGTTATAAATGTTATCTGTTAGTCATTTGGCCTTTTTGGTCTTTTCTTTTATTAGCTTAGCTCTTGTCATGCGGTTCTTTCAACTCAACTTGCTGATGCCATGATGTTCCCCATTACCCAGTTTAAGGAAAGAGATCTGAAAGGTATTAAAGTCAAGCTTATGTTTACTTTCATCAGTGTCAGAAGATCAGTGCTTATAGAATGCATATTTCTTCATACTCAAACCATTTCTGACCAACCCGTGCCAGTTTTATTTTAATCAGTCACCAAACATTTATAGGAGTCCTTGATAGGTAATGAAGTATATCCTGACAAGTACTGATATAATGAGATATCCCTTCTTTTGAGATGTTCTAGAGAATGATATGGATAAACACGTAATTATGATACTGTTTCTGATAATTAGGGGATGAGAGAGTATTGTGAGGGCTCAGAAAACCTCTTCACCAAAAACACTTCACCAAAAATCTAACATGAGCATTGAACAATAAAGAGGAATTTGCAGGAGAAGGGAGTTATTGTTCTATTAGGGAGACATTGTTCTATTAGGGAGACTAGAATGCATGAAGGTTCGGGTTGTAGAGATACTAACTTGGCTTTGAGAATGATAAGGTGTTCAGTGTAGTCACAGTGTTGCGTGGGTTGGGGTGAGGCGAGAGATGAACTCAGAAGTAGATTAGATTAGATGGACCAGATCATGCTGTAGATGTTCTGCTTGATGACGAGCAAAGAGGAGCCAATGGAGTCCTTAAGGAGTAAAGAGGCACAGTCGTTTTGTTTTTGGAGAAGAGTGGATTTGAGGGCTAGGAGATTGGACTAAGAAGTTAAAGGAATCCAGTGAAGTATGACCCAAGGCCTGCATTAGGAGAGTGGCATAGTGTAGAGGCTTATATGGGCTACAGTGGCAGGCAGTAGGGGTGCTGGCACATCTAATGACCTGTGACTTAGCAGTCTGTGGATTTTTTTTTGCCAATTTAGGGTTACTATGTGATCAGTGAGGGTTTTATAGAATTGACTTGTTTTTTGTCATCATTCCTAAACTCAGAAAGTCATGTAGACCTGTATCCAGAATATGTAGATAGAATAAAAATATTGAAGTCATGTATCACTGAATGGTAGAGTATTTAAATTATACATGGAACAAAGACCATTGTATTTTACACATGGAGTTAATTCTGATGATACTCAAATATGGTCATTTCCAAGGTTGAGAAAGTAATTCTCACAATTCAGGAGACTGAATTATATAATTTTTTTAAATAAAATGTTCTTTGTTTCTCATTCAGGATTTGAATTTATTAGAGTCATATATCAAAAAATGAATTGCTAAGTTGAACTGTGGTACTGAGTCAGAATATTTGCATATCTTTTTTTTTGGGGGGGCAGTACTGGGGTTTGAATTCAGGGCCTCATGCTTGCAAGGCAAGTGGCTCTTATGCTTACACCATTCTGCCAGCCTGGATGGATATTTACATATTTTAGCATTTACAATGGGTTTTAAAATTTGTTTTGTATCATCACTAATTTGATAAAGTAGATTTTTCTGGTGATATGTTGCTAATGATAATAAATATCCCATAGACTAGATGAAACAGATTAACGTTTTCACCTGGAATATGGAAGTATAAAGTTTTATTTAGAGTACAGCTTAAGTAGCATTTGTTGCTTTATAGACAGAGTTTAAGATATTTCATAAATATACTAACCTGAAATTTTTCTTGAACTTACCCAGAAATATTGACATTAAAAGAAGTGTTTCAGATCGCTAGTAATGGTAAGACCTGAATACTTTTACACACTAATTTCTTTTATTGATGCATTTATCAGTGTACATACAGGCCAATTTTTGGCAATAATTGAAAACAAATAAACCTAATTAAAAGTACACATTATTTAAATCAATGTTGTTATTTGAATACACTGTTTACATCAGTCTCACAGTTTACTGTGTTCATAATGCCTAAAGAGATGGTATAATATTCTACCTAGTTTTTAAAGAATTTTTTTTCTTTGTGGTGCTGGGGATTGAACCCAGCTCATGTATGCTAAGGATGGATGTATGAGCATTTGCTATGTTTTTGGACTAAAAATAATTTAAAAACTTTTAGTGTATTACAGTTTTCTTAGAATTCAGTGATTTCTTTTTTTTAATCACTTTAAGAATCAGACACATAATTTAGGGGAAGTTTGACTATGGGGACAATTTGAATATAATGGTCACATGATATAGAATTCTTACCTTGCTTTAGTACATTTTCATAAAGATGCACATATGAAAACGATTTAAAGCATTTATGTTTTGCAAAGTAGTTCATTGTTGTTAACACTCGTTTCTGCTTTCCAGATCATGATGCTGCAATTAACAGATATAGCCGATTGTCAAAAAAAAGAGAAAATGACAAGGTGTGATATGTACCTACTCCTTCTGTATCACAATTAGTGACTATTTCATAAGATGGTTTAGTTTTTCCTGTTTAAAAGTAGAGCCAATAGTTAATTTATGTGTTTTGCTCTTAGATAATTCTTTCCTGTTAACTGTTTAGAACCTTTCTGGTAATTGTTAGTATCTTCAAACAAAATGCTTTTTTTCCTGCTATAATTAGATAAGTTATAATTAAAACATAATTGTTCTAAAAATGTAGTTGATGTGCAGTATATAATACTGCTTTTTCTGGCTTTGTATTTTGATAACATTGCATATGTTCCGTTTCATTTGACCCATGTATGTATTCATAAATGTCTTGTGAGGTGCAATAGTCAAAAAGTAGAATTGTTGTACATATAACTCAATGAAATTCTGTTATAAGGCCCTCCTCATTTACAGGGAATATTTGTCTTTTGATATTTCTTCAAGGAGAGAAATGCAGAAATATTACATTATATTTGAGGAGAGAAGCATTCAAGTAAAGCTTAAAGAAGAGAATATTAACAAGTTTGTCTGGGTGCTCTTTAAGATCAGTTCTTTCTCTGTGCCTAATGCAGACTTGATGTGTGGACCTTACTAGGTGCTTGAAAGTGAGCTGATCTCTTTTCCTGGGAGTTAGTGTCCATAGCCTTGGCTACAGCTATCGGTAGACACAGTTATTGCATGTGACACTACAGGATTGAGTAGGGTGTCTGCAACAGTTATTGTTATGATAAAGGGAATGTTTCTCACACAGAATTCAGTCTAAAGATCTGCTTTTCACCTATAATTTTAGTTCACAAATTAGTTGATGATGCAAATACTGATATTAGACATTTTGAGGTCTACATTAATTATTTTATTTTAGACACTAATTTATAGTTTATATTGCCTCTGACTGTTCCAAGTATTTTTAAAATTTTTTTCAGTGCTGGGGTTTGAACTTAGGGCCTCATATAGGCAGGTGTGTTCCAAGTATTTTGAAAACAATCTTTGATAAATGTTTTCATTTAAAAATTTATTGAGCACCTACTAGATATACATACGTATGTATCAAGCAGTATGTTGGGTACCTTGAGAAAACAGTGTGAGTAGGCTCCACTCTTGCCCACAAAGAATGGATACTCCACACTTATTGAAAGCTTTGTTGTGAATGCATGTGACTAGACTAGGTGCCTATAGTCCAAGGATGAAGAGGGGGCATGGATTACAATGAGGTTTTACTAAAATGTGAAGAGCATAGGCTTTGGTGAATTAGGAAAGATTATACTTTTAGGAGGTGACATTTGCATTGAAAATAAGTGGACATGACTGTTTTGGGATTAGGCAGAGGGTGTTCCTTAAAAAAAAAAAAAAAAGATTTTGCAATGGCATACAGTGGAGTCGGGAGAGTGTAAAGGTGAAGGGCACTGCTCTGAAGTCAGACTGTTTTGAGACAAATCTGAGCTCTGCTACAACTGCCTGAGGTTATATACTAGTTACTTAATTCCAATCCTTTATTTCTCTGTTAGAAAAATTTAATTGTATCAATAAAATTAGGTAATGCATGCAGAATACTTGTCTTACAGCAAGTTTTCATTAAATTCTAGCCATAATTACTGTTCTTATGAGGGAAGATAATTATTAGTATGCCTGGATATGTTTGGGGAGGTATGGCAGAAATGTCAGTGCAGACGTAGTTTTGGGGCTGAATTTTAATGACCTCAAGATTTGTGTTAGAGGGGGTGAACAGCCACCAAATCATTGTAAGTAGGTGAGTAACAATGCAGTTGAATTATAGAATAAGAACACGAATGAAAATGAGAAGGAGATCTAATGAAAAGGTACTGGAATAGTTTGCCAAGACATAATAAAAGTCTCAGCTAACGTTGTTACTGAAAGAGGAGAGAAAGGAATACTTTGGGAAATACTTCATAAGAATTGAAACTTATAGTAGGAGCAGGCATCAAAAATAAGTCCTAGTACTTGGTTGACTGATGGAGCCTGGAATAATTAAGAGAGGTAAGAAATAAACTAGAAGAACAGGTTTTTAAGGAAGATACTGTCTTTCGTTTTATACATTTCCAGTGCTGTGCACACACATATTACACACAGAAACATGGAAAGAACCCAGCTGGAGATGTGTTTCCTCTGGCAAGAGTGAGGGGCAGGAGATAAAAATTTGCCACCACTGAGTCATTGGTATGGTTGAATATTCTTGGTTCTTTGTTTTTTTTTCTTTTTGCGGTACTGGGGTTTGAACTCAGGGCCTCATGCTTGCTAGGCAGACATTTGACCACTTGAGCCACACCTCCAGCCCTGTTCTTGGTTCTTGATGAGATATTCTCAGAGAAGGACGAAGAAAGGAGAGCCTAATGCACATTATGTAATAAGTTCTCAATAAAAATTTATTGTCTGGATAAAGGAATTCAGGGGAGTATATGTATTTTAAGCATGAGTGAAGGAAGACAAGCAAGTAGAAAATAGGAAGAATAGTGGTAGGGAGAGAACCAGAAAGGGAGAATGCTGTGAACTGTTTGAGGTCATAGTCTAATGGCTAAGTTAGTAACAACTGTCTGCCTTTCCTCCATATGGTAGACTTTTTCTGCCATGCTTAGTTTAGATATTTTACATTTGTAGGTATATGCAAATACACATTTTGTAAATAATATGGTTGGTAAACTAGAAACCAGCTTAGCCAATATGTTAAAGCACTTGTAATAGATAAAAAAAATCAGGAATGTTATGTTCATTTACTAATGATACACTGTTTTCCTTGGTAGTTTTCCCCATAGCTACTACTGAAGAAAATTAAAAATTCAATAAATAATAGTATTTTTAATCTTTTCATTCAAAGGTGAAATATGAAGTAACAGAAGATGTGTACACTTCCAGAAAGAAACAACACCAGACCATGATGCATTATTTTTGTGCATTAAATACTCTTCAGTACAAGAAGAAAATAGCATTATTAGAACCTCTACTTGGGTACATGCAAGCTCAGGTAAATGAGCTTTTGGATTAAAACTGTGCTAAAAGCCATATATCAAGCTTGGTGTTTACATTAAATAGAACTTACTGTACTTACTACAAACTTGTCAACATACTCATTTGTGTCTGGCTTTTAATAAGTAATTTTGAAAAATGTCATTGGTGTACTGTTTTAAGGAGTTTGAGGAGAATGGTTTTTCCTTGCAATTGAAGATCTCAAATGTTTTAGAGTAATTGAAAACATTTACATTGTGTTTAGACCTTGTCTACCTCAGCTGGGGACAGGAAGCAGAAAGCTAAATGAATTCCATTGTTACATCTATTCCTGGAGCTTCCCACTCATTCTTGCTGAAAGAGAATGAACAAGTTTAATTTGTTCCATGTTCCTTGCAAAATTCTTGAGTTAAAAATAATAGATGAACTCTCAAGTGCCAAAAGAGTGCATATCAGCAAGGAGGCTAGAAAATTGAGTTTTGGCGGTATCAGTCAAAAAATCAAGAGTTCATGGGCTAGAGGTGTGGCTCAACTGGTAGAGCACTTGGCTAGCAAGTGCGAGGCCCTGAGTTCAAATCCCAGTACTGCCCCCCAAAAGTTGAGTTTTTTTTTTTAAGTTATTTTTTTATTATTCATATGTGCATACAATGCTTGGGTCATTTCTCCCCCCTGTCCCCACCCCTCCCTTACCACCCACTCCACCTCCTCCCCCTCCACCCACCTCCTCAACAAAAGTTGAGTTAAATTTGAATATTCCTTCAGGTATAAGAGTATTAATAAGCCAGGTGTGGTGGCATATGGCAGTAGTCCCAGAATTCAGATTGCTGAGACAGGAGGAATAGGAGTTTGAGGCCAGCCCAGACTATACAGTGACACCCTGTCTCAAAAACAAAGTATATAAAACGATGTAAAGTGGAATTTATTTCTGGTTTTCTCAATGGCTCTTTCCAGTAGATGTTGCAAACTGTAGCCTGTTACTATCCAAATGTAATAATTGTTTGTTTTTAGACTTAACCACGTATCTTAGAGATTGTTTATATGATTTAAGTATTTTTGTGTGTGTATGTTTGTGTTGTTCAATCTTCCACTCCTCCTCTACCCCAGATAAGTTTCTTTAAGATGGGTTCTGAAAATCTCAGTGAACAACTGGAAGAATTTTTAGCTAATATTGGAACAAGTGTACAGAAGTAAGTACTTTTTTCTTAAAATTGAAAGTGAAATGAGAATAAGTTGACAGCTAAATGCCATAATTTAAAAAATATTTACTACTTAATTTCCTGACAGATTATTTTCCCTGCCATAAGAATGTTTCTCACATATCTTGTGGATATTGTTTTTAGTTTTTTTTTTTAACCCCCTTTTCCCTAGAATGGAAATTCTGAATTTCTTAACAGTGTAGAAATTTTAATGATTGAGAGCTAGCTTTTATGTCTGAATAAAACAAAGATAATAGTAATTATCCATAGATGAAATTACCTTTAAGTCTTATACATTGTGGGGGTTGCTTGGGAGATTACCAAATCTTGTTTTGGAAGCCATAGAACTTAGAGAGGGAAAGCAGTTCTAGTTAGGTTCAAAGTCTCAGCAATATTATTGCCAATCTGAGGTATGGAGAGAGGGAAATAGTTTTTCTTTCTTTTGTGGTGCTGGGAATTAAACCCAGGGCCTCATGGATGCTAGACAAGTGCTCTACCACAGAGCAGTTTGAAAATTCCTCCACGGACAGGGATTCAGTGTGGCTTCATTAGTTTTTAGATACTCGTATTGTTTCCAAAATATCTAAGTTTCAGTTAAAATGTTAAGTAAGCTGTTTGAAGTGTATTTAACCACCTATGCAACTGCTTTTTTCTTGAAGAAAATGTGTACAAAACATCTATACAGATAAACATGATTGGTAAAGAATTTTTTGCTGATTGTGGCTGGTAGTAAGTAATCTGTTCTCTGTGTTAGTGTTCGCAGGGAAATGGACAGTGATGTAGAGACCATGCAACAGACAATAGAGGACTTGGAAGTAGCCAGTGACCCTTTATATGTGCCTGACCCAGACCCCACCAAATTTCCTGTTAATCGAAATTTAACCCAAAAGGCTGGATACCTTAATGCTAGGAAGTAAGAAAACTACTGATACTTTCATATGTTATATGTCTTGGAAGGTAGTGCCAAATGAATATAATATATGATTGATATTGTCTGCCAAATTGTTTTGATTTTACTAACAGTTGAACCTTTTTAGTGGTGTTAGTATTTATGTGAACTTGTGGACAGATAAGTATACCCATACTTTTCAAAGAAAGTTCTACTTAGATAATTATTGAATAAATTATAAAAGAGGTAAAACCAGTTTGACTTTAAATAAATAAATTTATCATAACATGTGAATGCTATTAAATACCATCATGTATCATACTTTAAAATATATATAATGATTATTACATCAAGTTAAATTTTAGTTTTCATTTGAAGATAGACTAGGCTGTTCTGTTTTTTTGTTTTGTTTTGTTTTTGTTTTTTTTTTTTGGTAGTACTGGGGATTGAATTTGAATTTAGGACCTGGAGAAAGTGCTCTACCACTGAGCTATATCCCCAGCTTTCCCTTGTAATAGGATGAAGGACGTTCAACCTAGGAATAAACCAAATTATTTTATTTTGAATGTATTTCTTTGGAATATTAACTTGTACTTTATGATATATCATTATTATAACAGCTGAAATTTGATAACTTCCAGCCTTGTTTTGGAAGCTGTACACAGATTCACACAAATGAGCAAACATACGTAAAATCCTTTTCTTGGCACCATGGTGCCTTTTTTAAGGCTGGTCTTTATAACATGTTTTATCTTGTGTCTGCCTGATGATACGGTAATTTCAGGTGTGTCATTAAAAAGTGTCACTGTACTGTCTTCATTTAGTAAAACAGGCTTGGTGTCATCTACCTGGGATAGACAGTTTTACTTCACGCAGGGTGGAAACTTAATGAGTCAAGCCCGAGGAGATGTGGCAGGAGGCCTGGCCATGGACATAGACAACTGTTCAGTGATGGCTGTGGACTGTGAAGACAGGCGATACTGTTTTCAGATCACTTCTTTTGATGGAAAAAAGTTAGTATTGTTTTCTACTTTAATAGAATCTGTTAATATTTTAAACTACTGAAAGGTAAGCAGGCACTCTACCACTTGAGCCATATCTCCAGTGCATTTTGTTCTGCTTATTTTGGAGATGGTTCTTGTGAACTGTGCCTGAGCTGGCCTGGAACTGGGATTCTCTTAATTTCAGCCTCCCAAGTAGCTAGGATTATAGGTGTAAGCCACTAGTTCTTGGCTTACAACAAATTTTTGAAAAGCATAAATATAAAAAGGAGTATGGAAAAAATACCTATAATTTTATTAACTAGAAGCAACAATGATATTTCATTTGTTGCCTTTTAGTGTTTATCTGGAATACTTTTTTTGTGTGTGGTACTGGGGATTGAACATTCTAGGCAAGCACTCTAATTTAGTGACATCCCTTGTCCTTTTTAAAAATCTTATTTTGAGACAGAGTATCGTTAAGTTGCCTAGACTGAGTTTGCACTTGTGATCCTTCTGCCTCAGCCTCCCAGACAGGGTTACAGACGTGAGCCACCGTGCCCAGCATGAGTACTTTTTAAAATAATTGAAGATATAGTGCATATATTATTTGGATCTGCAGCCTCTTACTAAAAACCATTTCATAATGGAGGTACTGTAATCTTTTTAGACATATAGCATAACTTAAGCATTTTCCTAATGATATTTAGTTTATAGCTATGATTTTTTGCCCCCTCCATTTAATTAAAATACTGATTTTGACCTTTGAACTTTCTTAATGTTCAGAAGCAGCTTCTGGGTTCCCTGAAAATCATTTTCCCTCTATTTATGCACTTTAATAAACCAATTAAAAGAAGATAGTATGGATCATTATATCCTGTCAAAATGGTTAATTTTGTATTAGTTCTACAAACATAATGAATGTGAGTACTGTCAGTTATCAACTAGATATAAGGAGTCTCTGTTCATTTGGCAAAATTACCAAATCTTAATTTGGTAATTTTTTAATTTCATTAAAATTGTTAATATGTTACTACTAGTACTTACATTTTTGTATTTTTAGTTTTTGCCAATGCTTACATGATTTCCCGTTTTTCATTCCTGCTGTGATACAAAATTAGGAAAAAATATGTTTCTCTTTATTTTCGTGGTACTAGGGTTTGAACTCTGGTCTTCACACTTGCTAGGCAGGTTCTCTAGCACTTGAGCCATATGGTTTTTATTTTTAAAAAAGCAAAATATGTGTTAGTGGTTCATATATTGAAATTTTGATTTAACCCTATATATATATATATATATATATATATATATATATATATAATTTTTTTTTTCTTTTGTGGTACTGGGGCTTGAACTTAGGTCCATCACCTTGAGCCACTCCAACAGCCCTATTTTTGTGAAGGGTTTTTTGAGATAGGGTCTTGGGAACTGTTTGCCCAGGCTGGCAGTGAACTGCAAACCTCCTGATCTCCACCTCCTGAGTAGTGAGGATAACAGGTGTGAGCCACCAGCACCCAGCTTGATTTAACCCTCATATTAAAGAAGAAACAGTCAATAATGATGTTAGTATTTTCTAGTAGAGTTGTGGTATGTAATAAGTGTCAGATGAAATGTATTGTCGCACCTCCATGAAATGCGAAGTATACCTTCATGTTCTGTCTTCTTAGAGCCAGCACCTGTTTCCATTTGGCACATCTTGGTGTAGATAGCCACGTTTATTGACAAAGTTGAAGCTGTTAAAATCTTTGTCCTGTTGACTTTGATGGTCTTCTTTTCTTAAAATACTGTTGGTCATGTTTTTTTGGTTTTGTTTTTTAATTTTAAAGTTGAGGTTTTAGAATTTTTTTTTAAATAATTCTTCTTTTTCACCTTAGATCTTCAATTTTGCAAGCAGAGAGTAAAAAAGACCATGAAGAGGTAAATTTTTACATATTTAATTTCTTCAGCAACATTTGAAATTATTTTTCTGAGAACAAAATAATGTGTTCATTATAGAAATTTTGGAAAAATCCTAGTGAATTAAAAATCTTTTTTTTAAGTCTAATGTTCTCAAGTGACATTCTAAAGTTTCTCACAGAAGTTTATAGTTGGAGGGACCTTAGAGATCATGTCTTTGCTATCGTAAAGGTTTAAATTCAGCAATGACCTTGTGACTTGCCTTCTGGCAGGCTATTAGTATCATGAGGTAACAGTTTAATTTATTCCCTTCTCTCACCAACCCTTTGGGATGGTATTCGCTGCAGTAAGAACATAGTGGCAGCAGGTGTGCCATGGCAGGAAGCATCTAAAAACCTTGGGAAAATGAAAGACAGAAAAATAAAAATTTGGGAATCTCTGTTCTTCCTCACAAGCCTTTTAGTTTTGGCTCCTTTTTTATTCTTAGTACACCAAATTTGGAAGGTAAGGCACAACCAAGAACTGATAATTTAAAAATTTTGACTTTAAAAATATTCTCCCATGAAAATACACTACAGCTTGATTTTGAGCCTTTTTATCTAGTATTATAATTGTGTTGGTAAAAGACAAAGTTGGAAATTATGTAGGCAATCTACTTCTATTTACCTCTTGGCAAAGTGTTCATATTAAAACTTGCTTTTGGGTCTCTTGAGGAAGACAGACAAAGTTTCAACTCTGTGCATGGTTTACTAAACAAAATACTACTTACTTTAGTGAGGCCTATTAGGCACTGGAATCCTTGAGAATGAAGCAGATGTGGAACAGAGAGTTTTCTATGTAGAAAGAAGGGAGGTATGTACTATATGTTAATCAGGAAGTTACTTGTGTCAATTTTTTTTGCATTGGAATTAAGATTGTCTTGTCTGGTGGGAATTCAGGGAGGAAATAATATAAAAAGATATAGACTATTATAATTTAACATGATTGCTATATTTTTATTTCCTTATATGAAATAAATTTGGGATTTATAAATAATTAGCAAATCTGCTAAATGATCTCTTATATACATGTTCATAGCAAGTTGTTTCCTTGTTTTTATTTTGTTTTGCTTTTGGTGCTGGGGATAGAATCCAGGGCCTCATGCATGCTAAGCCTGTGTTCTACCACTGAGCTACATTCCTAGGCCCAAGGTAACTTTTACAAAGAAGGTTATATGTTAACTTCTAATGAAACTTCTGTTTCATTTGGATATTGAACATTCTTCTTCAGAAGTATGTTGGAAAAAGTGTTGTCAATCACGTTTCTGTTGTTTTCCTCTTGCAGTGGATTTGTACAATTAACAACATATCTAAACAGATATACTTAAGTGAAAATCCAGAGGTAATATTTTTATTTTGTTCTCAATTTAGCAAAATTGATTAATTCTGTGACTTACATGACTTTTATTAATTGGGTCATAATTTCTCAAGTTCTATAATCTTCATGTATGTGATGAGTATCTGATCTTCCTAGAAAAATAAATTATTTCCAAAGGTATTGAAATCAGTCAATCTCCAAATATTTATTAGATGTTGACTATTTAGCTCTGAATTGAGTACCATGAAGTAGGGAAATGTGGAATAAAATAAGCCATAGCTTATCTTCTGGTGAGGCAAAATTAAAAGTTTAAGTAACATAATATAAAACAGGATATGATTGAAAGGACATGGTGATGACCAGAAGCTTATACTTTGAGAATGTTAAGATCAATGTGGACTTCAGCTATAGAGAAAGTTCTGTGGAGATGATGGAAAACTGAGCTAGGATTTGTTTGTGTTTTGAGAAAAAGAGAAGACATTGCAGGTAAAATAAAAACAGCACAAATACAGAAATGATATGTTTATGAAACTAGTAGTATAAAGGTTCATGGTGAAGAATAATAGAAAACTGAAATGTGCATACATATCACCTGGGAATATTGTTAAAATACATGTTATGATTCAGTACATCTCCGGTGACATAGCCTGAACTCCCAGTTTTGCAAATTATTCTTTGAGTAGCAAGGATTTCAAACCTAGTGAACCCCCCATTATAGACATAGACATAGGTATAGTTTAAACATGCAGACAGAACCTAGGGATATTGAGGACTCTGGAAGTAATCAGTGGGTCCATACTGCAGAGTAGTAGGAAAAGACTTGGCTTTAGGATAGGAGCTGTCAAAACTCTTGCCAGTCTTTGGGGATTTGGCTGTGCTGTGAACCCAGGTGCTTCCCAGGGCTGGGCAGAAGCTGATGATTTCAGCTGAGGAGTGATTTCTGCTGAGGAACATCACCCTTCTAAATCTTGGAAATAATTGGAAAGTCAGATGGGAAGGTGTAGACTGGTTAGTAAAGGATGACAAATAAGGTAGAGATGACTTCCAGATTCTAAGCCCAAGTGAAAAGAAGAACAATTAAAAAAAGAAGAGTTCCATTTTATCAAAATGGCTGTGAGGTGTCAGTTAGGACACATAGATGCCCAGAAGGAAGTTTGACCCAAAAGAAACAAAATCTTACGACCTTTAAAAAAGTTTATTTAAAAATAAACTTACAAGTTTAATTTTAGAGAATTAGTGCTAATGTGAGTAACTTGTTTCCTGTTAATTTTTTTTTTTTTTTGGTAAGGCTATTTGGGAGCAACAACATCACAAAAATTGAGACACATAGTAAATTACTTATTGCCTAGGAAATGCAGTATTTGGATTTGGGTAATTTAGACTTGCAATTCTTTACTATTGATATCAGAACTGTAATTGTTAGTTAATATTTTCAGGTTATCCATAATTACATCTCTATTAATGAGAATAGCAATTTTGATCAAGCCATAACATATTAGTATTTTTGCTGACTATAAGACACAGAAATGCAAAAGTGTCTTTTCTAATATAAAGACCATTTTGTTTTATTTTTTTATTTTATTGTTTTATTATTCATACGTGCAAACAAGGCTTGGGTCATTTTTCCCCCCTGCCCCCACCCCCTCCCTTACCACCCACTCCGCCCCCTCCCCCCCCTCAATACCCAGCAGAAACTATTTTGCCCTTATCTCTAATTTTGTTGTAGAGAGAGTATAAGCAATAATAGGAAGGAACAAGGGTTTTTGCTGGTTGCGATAAGGATAGCTGTACAGGGAGTTGACTCACATTGATTTCCTGTGCGTGGGTGTTACCTTCTAGGTTAATTCTTTTTGATCTAACCTTTTCTCTAGTTCCTGGTCCCCTATTCCTATTGGCCTCAGTTGCTTTTAAGGTATCTGCTTTAGTTTCTCTGTGTTAAGGGCAACAAATGCTAGCTAGTTTTTTAGGTGTCTTACCTATCCTTACCCCTCCCTTGTGTGCTCTCGCTTTTATCATGTGCTCAAAGTCCAATCCCCTGTTGTGTTTGCCCTTGATCTAATGTCTGCATATGAGGGAGAACATATGATTTTTGGTCTTTTGGGCCAGGCTAACCTCACTCAGAATGATGTTCTCCAATTCCATCCATTTACCAGCGAATGATAACATTTCGTTTTTCTTCATGGCTGCATAAAATTCCATTGTGTATAGATACCACATTTTCTTAATCCATTCGTCAGTGCTGGGGCATCTTGGCTGTTTCCATAACTTGGCTATTGTGAATAGTGCCGCAATAAACATGGGTGTGCAGGTGCCTCTGGAGTAACCTGTGTCACAGTCTTTTGGGTATATCCCCAAGACTGGTATTGCTGGATCATATGATAGATCAATATTTAGCTTTTTAAGTAGCCTCCAAATTTT